TGAAGGTCTTGTGGACTGGAGGCATGGCTCAAGTGGTAGAGTACCAGCCGTGAGCGAGAAAGCAGACTGAGAGCCTAAGGTCCTGAGTTCAAGCCTGGCATAAGCACAGAAACAGAAAACCTGAACCTCAGTTCTCTCTGCTCCCCAAAACTATAAGGATGAGCCATCATGCCTAGTCCTTTCTTTTGCATCTTCAGTAGCCATTCATCCATCTGCTTTCAGAAATGTTTCCCAGAGGAAGTGTCTGAGACCTTTCCCGGACTCTACACCTGTCCCTTCAGGTCCCTATCATCGCCTTTACCTGTGTCTTTTTCTGGTCATGGGGCTTGAACTCTGGGCCTGGGCTCTGTCCCTGAGCTCTTTTGCTCAAGGCTAGTGTTCTACCCCTTGAGCCACAGCGCCAGTTTTCTGTGGTTCATGGAAGATTAGAGTCTCCCAGCCTTTCTTGCCTTTTCTAGCTTCCCACTGAGATCCTCAGAGCTCAGCCTCCTGAGTAGCTAGGATGACAGGCGTGAGCCACCCTCGCCCAGCCTCTAAGCACCTTTGATCTGCATGGAGGCCCTGCCACCTCCTAAACATAACCTCCTCTCCCCTCCCCCCCCCCCCCCCATGGCATCATCCTCTTGCGAGCTTGAGCTCTGGGCGGTCTGATGGCATCATCCTGTTGCGAGCTTGAGCTGTGGGCGGGTCGCAGCGCTGCTCTCAGCAGCCTCCTGTGGAAAGGTCTCATGGCTCCTGCCTCCGCCACCGCGTCACCCTTGCTGGACTCGGGGCGTCAGTTCTGACGTCACTGTCCTGGGAGGCCTTCCTGATTCCCCAGGCCAGAACATGTCCCCGTGACCCTTCCAGTGACCCGCCCAGCAGCAGCACCTTGTGTGCCTCCTGCAGGAGAAAATGCTGGACATCTACTGGCTGCTGCGCGTCTGCCTGCGGACCATTGAGCACGGGGACCGGACCGGCTCGCTCTTCGCTTTCATGCCCGAGTTCTACCTGAACGTGGCCATCAACAGCTACAGTGCCCTCAAGAATTACTTTGGCCCTGTACACAGCATGGAGGAGCTCCCAGGTGAGGGGAGCAGATAACAATCCCCCCCCCCCCCGCAGAACCCTGACCCCCATACCCCAGAAGCACCAAGCAAGTCTTTGTCCCTGGTCTGGTGCCTGTAGCCACAGACAGAGCAGTTTTTTCCTGGGTCCTGGAAGGAGCGCAGATAGGTGTGGACACCGACCCTCCCTTCTCTCGATTCTGCTGAGGAGCTGCCTAGTCCCCGTGGGCTGCAGGCCCCTCGGTTTGAACTGAGATCCTCAGGTCTCAGCCTCCTGAGTAGCAAGGATGACAGGTGTGAGCCACGGGTGCTTGGCTGGCTTTGTCTTTAAAAACAGCTATGGGGACTGAGAGCTATGCTGGGTCATCCACTATGTACCAAGATGGGTGAGAGGCTAGGTCAAGGCTCTGGCTAGGACCTTCCTGCCCGCTTCTTCCCACAATGAATCTGAGCATTGATTGGCTCTTCCTCAGCTGTTAGTGAATGCCTTGACTGATGTCCCTAGATACCAACATGAGTCCAGACTGGTCCCAGGAGCCAGTTCTAGGGCCACATACCCAAGCCCCCCTACCGTCCCTCCCCACTGCCAAGGGATGTGTTTATTCCTGGAGTCCCCCATCCTGCAGCTGTTTTCACTGCCCACCTTTGCAGGCTATGAAGAGACCCTGACACGACTGGCAGCCATCCTGGCCAAGCACTTTGCCGACACGCGCATCGTGGGCACCGGTGAGGGCCCGAGGGGACAAGGATGGCCTGGCCTGTCTAGAAGATTGATTTCCATGCAAATTGACAGCCATGTGGTGTGAGGCGTGGGCTAAGGTTCAGGCTGATTACCTGCTGAGACATAAGCTTCTCCCTGCAGATATCCGAGACTCGCTGATGCAGGCCCTGGCCAGCTACGTGTGCTACCCACACTCGCTGCGGGCTGTGGAGCGCATCCCTGAGGAGCAGTGAGTATGAGTAGGGAAGGATCCAGCACGGGGGAGGCACCCCATCTTGCAGAGCCCTGTCCCCACACTCGCCCTGAGTCTGTCCCTGCCCTTTCCCGTCAGGCGCATCGCCATGGTGAGGAACCTCCTGGCCCCCTATGAGCAGCGGCCTTGGGCTCAGACCAACTGGATCCTGGTGCGGCTCTGGAGGGTAAGCCTGACCTAAGGCAGAGGTTGGGGCCAGTGCAGAAAGGGTGCCTTGCCCTCCCCCCCAATCAACTCTCGCTCTCTCCACTCCCAGGGCTGTGGGTTTGGGTACCGCTACACCCGGCTGCCCCATCTGCTGAAAACCAAACCAGAAGATGCCAACTTGCCCAGCCTCCAGAGTGAGTATCGAAGTTGGTGACATCTGAGCCACCACCAGGCAAGACAGATTTGGGTGGCTCCATTTTCAGTTTTCTGGGAGTTAATTGGAGTCTCATGGACTTTGCTGCTCAGGCTGGCTTTGAACTGTGATCTTCAGATCTCAGCCTCCTGAATAGCTAGGGGTTATAGGTGTGAGCCACTAGCACCCAGCTTCCAAAATTTTAATCTTATCCCCAAGGTATCAATGAAAAGAAGCTGGCTATTCATTTGGGGAGACAACTGTCTGTCGTCCTGTATACTTCCAGTCTTAGTTGAGAACAGTGTTTTGTTGTTTTTTAATTGACTGGTGCCAGACTCAGGGCTTGGTTTTTAGGCCTGGGATCTTCGAGTCAAGACAGGTAGTGGAAATTGTTCAAAGCCCTCAGAGGGCACTCCTAAGGCTTCCTGGAGTGGAGTACTGGGCTGCGAGCAGAGTACCTCTCCTCCTCCAGTCTTGTGCGTTTGAGGGCCTGTACCGGGCCCAAGGCTTGGCGATGTGCGATTTGCAGAAACCCTGCTACACATGACTGAAGGCGCACACAGAGTGCTTTGCCCTTGCTGGCAGTGTTTTGAGCTGCAGGATTGTCCCGGGAGAGGCTAAATGCCTTGTGCAATTCCCACAAGCCTTTGCCAAATGCTTCTGTCCTCTACCTCGAGGACAGAACTGAGCTGCAAGTGGAGAGGGGCACCGGGGCCAGATACCATCCTGTGGCTGCAGGAACTATTGATTCGCATCAGAGAGCTCTGGTTACCACCGCCCGCCAGCCCAGACTTGGCGCCCACCATCTGGGCCAAATGCCAAGGGCAGCAGAGGACAGTAGAGGACAGCAGGGCTCAGACTACCCTCTTGAAGAAGCTGGTCTTGACGCTAGTGGAGAAGGGTCTAAGTCCTGGCTATGTCTGACCCTGTCTTTTGGGGTGTGGGGCCCAGAGCTTGCTGGGGGTCAGGCTGCAGCTGTGACACGGGGAATAGGAAACACCTCCCACCCTACGGTTGCCTGGAGGAGGAAACAGCTTTAGTTCTAACCCCTGGGCAGTTTGACACCCTGTTCTCCATGATTTGTGTTTCCAGAGAGCCATCTATTTTATTTTTAGTTTTGGTGCTGGTTCCAGGGCTGAACTCGGGGCCAGGGCGCGCTCTCTGGGTTTCTTTTGCTCAAGGCTAGTGCTCTACCACTTGAGCCACGGCTCCACTTCCGGCTTTTTGGGTGGTTAGTTGGAGAGAAGAGTCTCATGAACTTCGCTGCCTGGTCTGACTGAACTGCGATTCTCTGATCTCAGCCTCCTGAGTAGCTAGGATGGCGGGCATGAGCCTGGCCATCTTTCTGTCTTTATACTCAATGGATGAAGACAGATAAACAGGCCTGCTAATGCTGCTTCCCCCCTCCCCTCCCAGAGCCCTGCCCCTCTGTCCTGCTGCAGCAACACATGGCAGATCTGCTGAGGCAGGGTCCTGACGTGGCCCCCAGCTTCCTCAACAGCGTCCTCAACCAGCTTAACTGGGCCTTCTCTGAGTTCATCGGCATGATCCAGGAGGTGGGCCACGGCAGGCCACGGCGGGGCTGGGATCCAAGCATAGAGCCCTGCAGGGCAGCTAGGCCTCTGACGCTTGCCTGTCTACCTGCTGGCTGCTCAGATCCAGCAGGCTGCTGAACGCCTGGAGCGGAACTTCGTGGACAGCCGGCAGCTCAAGGTCTGCGCCACCTGCTTTGACCTGTCGGTCAGCCTGCTGCGAGTCTTGGAAATGACCATCACACTGGTGCCTGAGATATTCCTCGATTGGGCCCAGCCTGCCTCTGAGATGCTCCTGCGGCGTCTGGCACAGGTGTGTCCATCTGGGCAGTGAGGGGGAACCCTGGGGGGGGGGGGAGGAGGGAGGGGCGAGGCTCCAGTGGTGAGCTCGCCCATCCACCATCAGGCTCCCGCCCTCACAGCTGCTGAACCAGGTGCTGAACCGAGTGACGGCAGAGAGGAACCTCTTTGACCGTGTGGTCACACTGCGGCTGCCCGGTAAGGATCTAACTGCTCTGTGTTCCCGCACACCACGGGCCTTGGTCCTGCGCCCATCGCTTCCCACTCCCAGCCTCAACTTGACCTACTGAAGGAAGGACAGTGGGAAGGGTGGATGGCATCAGCCAGGCCTGGAAGCCCCTGGCATGAAGCATGTGAATGGTGCAGCCTCCTTCCCCCCCCTTAGGCCTGGAGAGCGTGGACCACTATCCTATCCTGGTGGCAGTGACAGGCATTCTGGTGCGACTTCTGGTGCACGATTCAGCCTCGGAGTAAGTGCTGGGAGCTGCTGGCTCGCAGGGGAGCTAGAGTTGCCTTTTGAGGGGGGACAGGGCAGGGCCTGAGGTGCCTAGAGACTGGATCTCAGTAACTAGGAGGCGGTGGACCAGTGGTGGCCTGTGAACTGCCTAAATTGGCGCTAGAAGCAGCTGCGGAGTGGGAGGGTGTGTCTTAGCTTGTGAGGCTGTGCCTCTACTAAGGGATCGGGACTGGGCACATTCACGCGTGTGTGCATGCATGCATGTGTGTGTGCGTGTGTGGGTGGTAGCCTGTCATGGCCAGGGCAACACAGCTGGATCAAAAGCTGAGCACACAACGCTCCCTGTGTCTGTGAAGGCTCCAGTGATGCGCACGGACAGTCTTTATTGGGAAACACCGTTAACAGCGTGGCCTGGGGTAACCATGGGGATCCCCAGCTCAGCCCTGACACCTGAGGGGCCCCTGCAGTGGGGATGCTAAGATGCCTGTGGAGCCAGGACACCGCCTTAGCTATTAGGCTGAGACTAATGCCAGTCCTTAAGAGGCTCCTGTCCTCTGGGGACATTGAGTTCCAGCTAAGGCTCTCTTCGTTTTCTACGCTTGCCAGGCTTTTTACTGCCCTCAGAGGGCCTGCCGGAGAGCAGGGTCCCTCTGGTTCAGGCTAAGGCTGGATCCCCCAGGGGTCTCTTGGAAGTGTGCCTGACTCACGCTTGCCCCCCAGCCTGCACGTGAAGCATTGTGCTTGCAGACTGGAAGGTTTGCAGACTGGAGACGGGGCTCGTTCACTAGAGGGAGGGCTTGTTTTCTCCTTCCACCTGGGGAGAGTGCGGATTTTCTGAGCCCTCCTCCTTTTCTCCTGCCCTCTGGGACATGGTTGGAGGAGAAGGTAATGTGAATCCATTCCTTGACATCTGCCTCGGCCTGAAGATGGCGGTCCCGGGGCTCTTAGGAGAAATGCTTATTCCCCAGCCCTCACCCCACACCTAAGCGCTAGGAGGTCCTAAGGGAAAGCAGGCACTAGTGGGCCCTATGCTAAGCTGTGGGCCTTGAGGTCTCGTGCTAGGCAGAGCAGGAGGCAAGTTGGGGACCTCAACCCCATTACCAGTGGGTTGATTGAGGTTAAGGCCTATATAGGAGCAGGTTTGTAGGGCTTCGCCCCCAGCACCTGGCAATGCTCTGGACTAGGGAGGAGGGCAAGCAGGAGGGCTATGGGCGGGGCCGGGGGGCCTCAGGCAGACTGAGTCATCATGAGGCCCTCTGAGCCTGTGGAGCTGGCCGTCTCAGAGCCAGCCTTGAGTGGCAGGTCCACAGTGTTGCAGAGATCGAAGTCCTCGGCCACTGCCAGCTGCACACGCCCATTGAGGCCTCTCCGGCTGGGTTCCAGGAAGACCACATGTTTGTGGACACTAGCCTTCCGGCTGGGTGCGTCTGGCGGCGTGGTGCTGAGCATGGAGGACTGGGCGCTCAGCTCCTGGAGCGGGCTGGGTGTGCGCGGCCAGCGGCGGCGGCAGGTGTGGCAGCGGCGGCCGCAAGCCCTGCAGGGCGGCGCGAACAAGTAGAGGAGCACCAGCACCAGGCCCACGGCACAGCCGAGGAGGGTGGTGAAGCCGGTGTTGAAAGCCTCGGGCTCGGGGCGGGGGAAGTGCACGCTCACGTTGTACTCTAGCGTCTGGTTGTGGTGCAGGTGGGGCCCGCTGGCCAGGCACACGAAGACCCCCGCGTGTCGCTGCTGTACTTTGGCGATGGCTAAGCTGCCGTCGGCCAGCACCACGATGCTGCCATCGCGAGATCCGGGAGCCACGAGCAGCTCATTCTGGGGCGACACCCAGGCAATGCGCACAGCCGGGGCGCTGGTGTTGCAGTAAAGCCTCAGGGACCGACCCACCTGCGTGTCCAGCTGCTCTTCCGGCTGCTCCAGGTTGGGAAGCGAGGCCGCCGAGCAGTTCTCAAAGACGCGGCTGTGCTCAAAGAAGCGCACTTGGGAGCCGGGCACGGGGAAGGCCAGGCAGGTGTACTGGCGGGCGAAGTCGCGCACGGCGCCCAGGCCCCGCTGGCGCCAGCGCCGCAGCAGGTGGTAGAGGCGGCAGTCGCAGGGCAGCGGGTTGTCGTGCAGGTAGAGGCCGTTCTTGAGGAAGGTGGGCAGGGCCGCCAGCTCGGGGACCGAGAGCGGCCCCAGCTGGTTGGAGGACAGGTCCAGCGTGCGCAGGTGCGCGGGGCCCAGGCCGTGCAGGTGATCGAAGGAAAAGGAGGCGAGCTCGTTGGAGCCCAGGTACAGGTGGCGCAGCGCGGGCAGGCCGTGGAAGCTGCGCGCGTCCAGGTGCACCAGGCAGTTGTTGAAGAGCAGCAGCCGCTCCAGCGCCCCGAGCCCGTCCAGGTCGTGGCGCCCCAGCGCGCGCAGCGCGTTGGAGGACAGGTCCAGCAGCGTCAGGCCGCTGGCGTTGGCGAAGACGTGGCGCCCCAGGGCGTCCAGCCGGTTGTGGCCCAGGCGCAGCGCGCGCAGCCGCGGGAGCGGGGCCAGCCAGCCGGGGCGCAGGCGCCGGAGCCCGTTGTGGCTCAGGTCGAGGTCGGCGGCGGTGGGAGGTAGGGCGGCCGGCGGGTCCCCCAGCCCGAGGCCGGCGCAGCTCAGCACGTCCGCGGCACAGACGCACGGAGCGGGGCAGCGGCGGGGCAGCGCGGGCGGGAGGACCTCGGGGTCCGCGGCGCCCGACCCCGGGCGCAGCGCGCACAGCAGGGCGCCCAGCGGCGCCAGCCAGACCATGGCGGCGACCCCGGGAGGAGCGGACCCCCGGCTCCACACTCACCCACTGCTGCTCTGGCCAGCTCCGCTCGCCTCTGGGTGGCCCATGGCTAGGGGAGAACGGCAGGCTCCTCTCGGTGTGGATGGGCTGTGAGGCGGGCTGCGCTCCGCTCCAGCCGCGCGCGCCCGGAGCCCTCACCCCGGGGACGGCCTAGGGGCGTGGACCTGGCGCCTATTGGCTACTGCCGCAAGAGGGCGGGGCATCGGCTTTCCCCATGCTTGGTCACCAGAAAGGGTTCCCACAGGGGCCAGCTGCCTTCCATCTCAGCTAAAAAGGGGACTCTAGGGAGACTGTCTTCATGCTGCTCTTTGTTAGGTGATGGTGCTCTGGTGTCTCGTATTCTGGGCTTTTGATCTGGGCTGTATGGGATCTCACTGGGATCCAGGACTTAACTTTCAGGCAGACCCCCAAGCTTTTTGACAACCCTTGCAACCCTCCCCTACATAGGACAGAGAGAGCCACGTCAGTGCTCCTGGCTGATCCCTGCTTCCAGCTCCGTTCCATATGCTATCTCCTGGGGCAGCCAGAGCCCCCAGCGCCTGGCACCACCTTGCCTGCCCCTGACCGGAAGCGCTTCTCCCTGCAGAGCTGTAAGTGGGCAGGCGTGGGTTAGGGAAGACGTTTGGGATTGGCTGGATTCAGGACCCTCCAGCACAGCAAACTCCCAGGCTGGGAATATTCAAGAGGCCACATGGAGCCTGACACCACCTACCACTAACCCAGATACCGATTATATCAGCGCTGAGGAGCTGGCCCAAGTGGAACAGATGCTGGCACACCTGACAGCTGCATCTGCCCAGGCCGCGGCTGCATCCCTGGTGAGCAGAGCGCCCAGCTCCATGCCGCTTTATTTTTGGTGTGGGGGGGAGGGTCCGGTCGTGGGGCCTGAACTCTGGGCCTGGGTGCTGTCCCTCAGCTCTACCACTTGAGCCACAGCACCACTTCCGGCTTTTTTCCTTTTGCTTATGTGGTGCTGAGGAATCGAACCCAGGGCCTCAGGCATGCAAGGCAAGCGCTCTACCACTGAGCCAACTATCCCAGCCCATGGTTTTTAGCTACTCTACTTGGTGGTCAGCGTGGGCTGCAGCTCAGTGGAGGCACCTGCCCACAGACTAAGAGGAGGGATTTTTTTTTTTGCTTATGTGGTGCTGAGGAATCGAACCCAGGCCGCAGGCATGCAAGGCAAGCGCTCTACCACTGAGCCAACTTCCCAGCCAACTTCCCAGCCCATGGTTTTTAGCTACTCTAGCTACTCTACTTGGTGGTCAGCGTGGGCTACAGCTCAGTGGAGACAACTGCCCACAGACTAAGGGATTTTTTTCTTATGTGGTGCTGAGGAATGGAACCCAGGGCCTCATGCATGCAAGGCAAGCACTCTACCACTGAGCCACCTTCCCAGCTCTCCATGCCACTTTTAAGACATGTGTGCGCGCGCGCGCGCGCACACACACACACACACACACACACACGCATAGATATCCAGCCCACCACCCTACCCTTCGCTCCTCCCTGTAGCCCACCAGCGAGGAGGATCTCTGCCCAATCTGCTATGCCCACCCCATCTCTGCTGTGTTCCAGCCCTGTGGCCATAAGTCTTGCAAGTAAGTGGGCCCCCTGGAGTCGGGTTGGGGCCATGGGAACACCCTGGGCAGCCCTCGTCCCTCCTGTTGTAGAGCCTGCATCAACCAGCACCTGATGAACAACAAGGACTGCTTCTTCTGCAAAGCCACCATCGTGTCTGTAGAGGACTGGGACAAGGGAGCCAGCACAAGCACCACCTCAGCTGCCTAGGTTGCCTAATGCACACAGCTTACAGACCAGCTTCCACCCCTGAACCCACCCAGGCCGAGCCCTGTTTAAGAGCTCCCTTGGCTCTGTCCCCATGGCCCTCATCCCGCCCATCCGCCTCCTTACCTGCGAGCAGCCTCAGTGGAACCCCAGCCACGGCCCTAATTATGCCTGAGCTTGACTTTCAGTCAGGGGTGCAGTGAACATTAAATTATTATTCCATACAACCCTGACCCCGGCCCTTTTTGAGGGAGAGGGGTTTGTGGGGAGTGCCCAGCAGGTACCCTGCCAGTTTCTGTCCACATGAGAAGGAAGGCAGGTGTCCCATGGGTGCCGCCTCATCCAGTCCTCCCCAGACACAAGTCCAGGGCCTTCTGCTGTGTCATGACAGTGCCTCCCCCTGCTGACAAGGAAGTGGGGGCTCTCAGCCAGCCCCCACATACTCCCTCACATGATGATACGAGGCTCGGGCACTGATTCACCAATAGACTTGTGGGGCAGCACACTGGCTCCATTGAGGTAGAGTTCATCGTTAACTATGACATCCTCACCCAGCACTGTTACGTTCTCCATGCGCACCTCGGGGAGGGGAGGGGGGGAAAGTAAGCCTGTCAGTCAGGCAGACATATTCCCTGCCCACCTCCCCAACCTGGTCTAGCCTGAGACTTACCCACTGGCCAACACGACAGCGCCAGCCCACAATACATGACTCTAGCCAGGAGTGGGAGCGGATATGGGCATCCCGAAGCACCGTGCACCGCCGTATGCACACACCATCCTCCACCACCACGCCAGGACCCAGGCTCACATTGGGGCCAATGCTGCAGTTCTGGCCAATCCGGGCACTTGGGTCCTGAGATTCATGGGGAGATAAAAGTGGGCCACTTAGCTGGCTGCAGGTGCCTCCTGCCTGTAATCCTAATCAGGAGGCTGAAACCTGAGGATTGTGGGTTGAAGCCAGCCCTGGCAGGAAAGTTCGTGAGACACTTGTCCCCAATAAACTACCAAAAAAAAAAGGTGAAAGCAGGGCTGTGGCTCAAGTGGTTGAGTGCTAGCTCTGAGCAAAAGATGCCCAGGGACAGTGCCCAGGCCCCGAGTTCAAGTTGCAGGACGGGCACTAAATAAATAAAAGCATTTGCTTTCTAAATCTAAGGGGATTCATATCTTGGTTTTGCCCAGGCTCTGAGTTCAAGCCCCAGGACTGGCACTAAATAAATAGAAGTGTGCCATTTGCTTCCTAAAGCTGAGAGGATTCATGATCTGGGCAAGGGCCTTACCACAAGCACATTGCCCACAATGCCAGGGCCTGAGCACAGCCGGTCTGGTTGCTTCTGTCTCACTGATTGCAAGAAGAGGCACATGCCGGTGAGGAAATCCTTGGGTTGCCCAATGTCCATCCAAAAGCCTGTAAAGGACACATCAGGAGGCTAAGAGCCAGCCACAGACCACCCCCACCCTGAGGACCTCCTTGACTCACCCTGCAGCTCCATTGCATATAGCTGCCCTTCCTTGGCCATAACAGGGAAGACCTCCTTCTCAATGGAAGTTGGCTGCAGCTGTGGGAGTAGGCAGCTTGTGAGCAGAGTCATGGCAGCAGAGGCCCACTCTACCCTAAACCACCACGCAGCTGCCTCCTATATATACCTGGATGCGTCGCAACACAGCAGGGCTCAGGATGTACATGCCTGCGTTGATCTTATTCGACACAAATACCTGTGGCTTCTCCACAAACCGGTGAATGCGACCCGTGTCAGCCTCACATACCACCACACCATACTTGGAAGGTTCCTCCACCTTGGTCACCTGAACACAGGGGGACCACAAGCCTAGTAATGAGCCTTGATATTCACTATCCTCTTAAGGACCCTGTCCTAAACACCTTTAAAAACATAATGCAGGTCTCTACACACACACACACCCTCAACAACATACTGAGAGTGTTCAAGGCTAGGGCACTGAAAGTGAGAATGACAAAGGAGAAGGAAAACTTAGTCCCTTACCAAAATGGTGCCCTCCTGGCCATGGTGCCGATGAAACTGCACCATAGCTTGAAAGGGAAAATCACAAATGACATCACTGTTGAGGACGAAGAAAGGGTCTGAAGTCTCACAGAGCAGGTCTCGGGCTAGTGCTAGGGGTCCAGCTGAAAGGAGCAGATCATCAGCTTGCTGGGGGGCTGAGAACCTGAATCCCAGACTTAGCAGACCCCATTCCAGGCTAGATCATATCTTCTGCCTAGCCTTAAACCCTATCCAAGTCGTCTCCCTGTCTGCACTGACCTGTTCCCAAAGGTTCCTCTTCATGGGACATGGAGATTCGGATTCCCAGCTGGAAGGAAAAAGCCACCCCATGAGGTTCGCCCTTCAAGGATTGAAGCTGAGCAGAGACCAAGGGAAAGGGCTGGGTCCGTGACTCACCCTCTGCTCCTGAGCCTTCATTTCCTTCTCCAGCACCTGTGACATGTAGCTCACGGCCAGGATCACGTGGTCCACGCCTGCCTGTCGAACAGAACGAGACTCAGACAGGCTCCAGGCGGAAGGTACGGGGGTACACCCCTCATTTCCAGGCGCCGTTCGTCGCTCTTCCCACCAGGTCAGACCCCGAGCCTTACCGCTGCAAGCGCCTCTACTTGGTGCAGCAAGATGGGCTTATTGCAGAAGTCCACCAGTGGTTTCGGGGTGCTCAACGTCAGCGGCCGTAGCCGCGTCCCGTAGCCGCCCACCAGGATGAGAGCCTTCATGGCGCCTGCGGGCGGTGGGATGGGGTCCCGGACGCCAAGGTGCCTGAGCCCGTTCGGTCGGCCTCGGCCGAGCAACTTTCGCCGCCGTGCTCGGACCTGTTCCTCTTACCAGTTAGACAGAACAACTCGAGTCCCGGCTCGTCCTCCGGGTCAGTCCGGACGCGGGGCACGGCCGCCAGCACCCCGAAAGCGACGCTAGCCCGGAACTTCGGCCGGACGCGGCGCGGGCAGTGACGTAATCCGGACGAGCCAATCGGATGCCGCCTACGTGGCACAGCCGCCGGCGCCGGATCTGCGAGCGCAGCGTGGCTGCAGACGTAGCCAATGAAAACGCGAACGCTCCCGGTTGCCGTGGGGACCGGGATGAACCCGCGGGTCAGCTGCTCATTGGTGCATCCGAAGGCGGAGCTGGCGCCAAGGCTGAGGCCGGGTTCTGCGGCCACGCGCGGCAGCTTCCGGCCCCAGCCAGCCAGCCAGGGCCTCGCCCAGGCTCCCCGGCTCCGGGAGGCGGCTCGCCCGGGCTGCCGGTGGTTCTGAACCAGCCCACCCGGAAGCTGTGGGATTTTTACAAAAACCCGAACAAACTTCAGTTTCTAGCGGTTTTATTTGGACGTATACGACCTCAGACACAAGCGGGCGGGCAGCACTAGATGTACAGAAAGGGGTAGGCTCCGCCCGAACCCCCCTCCAAGATCTGGAGGAAACACAACTGTGCCTAAACGCAACCGAAGCCACGAGGAGTATCCGGGTGCAGGCCTACGGGCGCGGACGGACGGCGGGACAGGCTTAGCTTCCAGGAAAGAGAAGCAGGGAGCGAGGTCTTACATTTCCCCCGAGAAGCAAAAGGACCAGGTCCTTCCCAGGGCTCTCCTCCCCCCACCCCCCGACATAACCACATTGTACAGCTGCAAAGTTCAGTGCAATCTGCATCCAGGAAACGTGCACGTGGCCAGGAGCGAGCGCGAGCGGCGCTAAAATCCCCACCCCCATTCCACTGGCCGAGGTGGGGGGGTCCCTGGCAAGTTGCTACTACTGGTCCCATCCCCCTGTAAGCACCACCTACCCTACCCCATTCCCCTCACGCTGGACTGGTGTCGGCAGGGGCTTCCGGAAAACTTGCATGGGTGACCTGGGCTCCCCAGCCCATGATCCCGAGTTGCACTTTGGTCCCAATTTGGGGCTGGGAAAGCAGGCCCTGGAAGGGACAAGGCTGTAGCCTGGATCAGAGAGCAAGTAAGCAGTGGCAGAAAATGTGTGCCCACACATTTGCCACCACCCAGCAAATCAACAAGGCTGCATCACCAGGTATCAAAAGTGCTGAAAAGTGGGGTCCTGTCCTGGAGAAAAGCAGTGAATCCCAAAGGCAGAATAAGTGAGTATAGCTTCTCTTACTATGACCAGCACAGAATGGGGCAGCATCTGCTCCCCGATTTTAAGGAGGCACAGCACATCCCCAGCTATCTCCAGTGGATAAGGCAAACTTATCCTCTATCCTGCCAGGGAAGTAACAACTGTCTTCTCTGCCTTATCATTCTGTGGCTTCAGCCACAGGGGATGGGAAGGCAGCAGCTCTTCCTTAGTGTAGACAAAAAGACAAAGCTGTACCTCCCAGGCCCAAGCAATGGGAACCTGCCCACCACTGACAGGGGAGTCTGAAGTCCAAGAGATTGAATCAGTCAAGGATGGATCTGTACGGACTGAAGAATTTGTCCATCATTTACCAATGCCTCTCACAGACACAGGCTGGCAGGCTTACCTTGAATGCCCAAACAGGGACATGTCAAAGTGAGACAGTGGCCCTAGGCTTGGAGGGTGCTAACCTTGACAATGGCTGAGTGTAGTGTAGCCACTGTTGCCTGTGTTACAGACAGCAGGTTTTGTCACAAAAGGGCTGGCAGCAAAAAAAAAAAAAAAAGACTAGAACCATGGGATAAGATCGCTCCTTGAATTTTCACTGTCCCACCATCACTACTGAAAGCCATACTCCAAACCCATAGGGAAGGTGTTAAGTAAGCAGGGAAACTTTACCTGCAATTCATTCTGTTACCAGGACTTTATAAAAAGGTGGTATCTTCTGAGGAAGGGCATAGGGGCAAAAGCTCACTCACATCAGAAACAGGAGTATTTTGCTGAGGAAAGCATGACGGAAATCAATATATACTAACAAGCAAGGCTACACCCTAAGGGAAGGCTCCCCATGAGAAGGGGGCTGGCAGGTGGACAAATGAACAAACTGACTAGGATTAAGCAGACAAAGCTCCCATTAGCAGAATCTGGGCACTTGCACCAGGGCCCGATGTCTTAAAAGCAGACAAGGTTAAAGTTCTCCCTTTCCAAGCTCAGGGCTTGGAATGCTCCCCACAATGGGCTCCTGCTTTGAGCTTGGCCTGGGGAAGTGTACAACCCTGAGCGGACCACAGCCCTTGAGCCCTAGGAGAAGCAGCCCATCCACAGGCAGCACAGCTGCCCAAACTAGATGGAGGGACGGAGGGAGACTCCCATCCACAAGCACAAGAACTGAAATACTGTCTGGGCCAGAGCCCCTAGAGGCCCTGAGACCTACGGGGACACCAACTCTCCTCGGAAAACAGAGCTGTGTCCCCGTGGGGCAGGAGGGAGTAGCCTCTCTTAGCAAGAGATCTTGGTGAGAAAGGCTGGCTGGGGCTGTGGGGCAGAGGAGGAACAGGTTCATGAGCCAGTTGGTGGCTAAGGAACCCCAGGCTTGCCCTCTTGTCAGTTGGCTTCAGCTCAGTTTCATAAATCCAGCCCCATACCAAGATCGGACCTAAGGATGGGTCCAGCTTTGTAGTTCGCCCTGGGGTATCCTGAGGGCCTCTGTTCAAGAGCTAGCTGACACCAACAACATGAGACTGGCAAGCCTACAAGAGATAGGCTCCCCGGTCCCCTCTACTTCTGAGAAACAAGAAATGGAAGGACCCTGTGCCAGCCCAGGGCTTCAGCAGCAGCAGGGCCCTGCAACCACAGACCCCCAAAGACTAGGCAAGAGGAACCAAAGTCCAAGGGTATCCTGTCTCTGCTGCCAAGCCCACCAGGGGCACCTCTTCTTTCCTAAGTCAGCCTGGACACAGCAATCAGAGCCACCGAGCTGAGGAGCCTGGCTGAGAGGACGGATGTTTTCTGCCCTCCTTCACTTTATATATATGGATTCCAGGCTACAGCTAAAAACATTTCTTTTAGTTTACACCAAAGAGAAATATAACCCTTTAAAAGCAAGTCTGTGTGTCCTCACGGCAAGTTCAGAGCAATGGTCCCTGCCTGCGGGTGGAGAGGAAGGGGTCCTGGGAGCCCAAGACTGGGCCTACTGGTTCTCGTCCCGCATCTGTTCCATGATGCTGATGAGATTCTCCAGGCCAAACACGTAGCCTCTGTCTGGCCCATCATGCACAGTGGGGTCATCCCGGAAGCCCTTGAACGTGCTGTGTGCAAAGTCAATCATGCGGACATCCACTTTGGGTGGAGAGGAGAGGCCAGCCTCAGGGTTGGTGCTGCTGGGGCTGGTACTGGGGCCACAGAGTGGTGCCACCTCAGAGAGCCCCATGTCCGGGTGCTTGAGACGCAGCTCAGATCGGCATTCCTTGCCATCATAGATGACAAGCAGAGAACTGGAGTAGAAGCGGTAGGAGGCCTGCCGCTCCAGCACAGCTTTGAGGCCCCGCAGTTTGCTCAGGATAGGCTCAAAGAGGTCACGTCTCAGGTCCAGGCCATTATGTAGGTACTGATAGAGGGCATTGCGGAAGCCTTCAATGGAGAGCCCACGGCCATAGTACTTGTTCCTGCAGAGGTAATGGCCTGTATCCAGCTGGTACACCTGAAATTCCAGGAGACAAACAGGGTGAGTACCACCAATCTTGGCCCTGCAGCTCCTCCACTGGAACAGGCGTAGGCTACATTTACCCAGGGTTTTCCCATCACAATTACACAGGCCAGCACTGGCCTAAAGCCTTTATCTTTGAAGTCCTACTCTAAGCTGCTGTGGGGCTCACTTACTAGACTGTTTTGTTTTTTTTTTCATGCCAGTACTAGGGCTTAAATTCAGAGCCTGGGTGCTCTGACCTTTTTCACTCAAGGCTAGCCTTCTACCACTTGAGCCAGATCCACTTTCAGCTTTTTGGTGGTTAACTGGAGATGAGAGTCTCTCTCTCAGACTTTCCTGTCTGGGCTGGCTTCAAGCTCCATCCTTGGAGCTCAGCCTCCTGAGTAGCTAGGACTATAGGTATGAGCCATGGGTGTCTGGCTTCAGCTAGAGTCTTTACTAGCTGCTGACCGGCAAGGCTTAACTTGTCCCCAGGTCAAGCTCTCACAACAAATATGCACCTGCCAAATCTGCATCTGTCAACAGGTAAGACTGCAGGACTCAGGGATCCTATCTACAAGGACATACTCAGCACCCTGTGGGGAACTCACCCTCTCGAGGAGCCTCTGGAAGAGTGGGGCCAGGACACTTGGCATGGGTGGCAGGCAGGTATGGGCCCAACCTAAAACATGCAAGTGGCAGCGCTAGGCTTTCACGTGCTGGCGACTTACCTGCATGCCACAGACCCTGACCCCCAGCGTAGCAGATGTGCTCTGCTCGCACTTCCTCATCTGCCGGGCTGCTTTCTCAGCAGATGCGTCATCTCCATGCTGCCGAGTGCCCATCTTCAAGTCCAGTACACAGGGGTACTTGAAGTGGTGTACCACATTCTCAAGTAGGAGGAATTCTGGGCCACAGTCAAGAAGAATGACAACAAAACTCATTGTACATCCCGCCCAAAAAAGCACAACGAAGTTTAACACAAACTAGATTTACCTCAGACTCTTAAATGAGCATTTCACACCTCTGGCTTTAATTTCTCAACAAATTTTGTGGTTAAAACAATTATATACTTAGACGCACACCAACATCTAGACATGAACTACCAGTGTCCAGCCCTACTGATCTCTTTAACTTATTTTGATTATTTAGGTCTTCTTTTTTTTTTTTTTTTTTTGGTCTGGTTGTGGAACCTGAACTCTGGGCCTGGGCGCTGTCCCTCAGCTCTTCAGCTCAAGGCTAGCGCTCTACCACTTGAGTCACAGCACCACTTCCGGCTTTTTTCTTTTTGCTTATGTGGTGCTGAGGAATCAAACCCAGGGCCTTATGCATGCAAGGCAAGCGCTCTACCACTGAGCCACCTTCCCAGCCCCTATTTAGGTCTTCTTTGTAGGCAATAAAGAAGATTTGGCAGATTTTGCTACATCCTGCCACCATCAGTCAACCTGCCCTCCTTAAGCCAGAACTTTACACAGGCCTAAGAAATGAGTGAAACATCTTTACAGCACTACTACAAAAATGAGTAAATCATGACAGGAGCTGGTAGCTCACGCCTGTCATCCTAGCTACTCAGGAGGCTGAGATCTGAGGATCATGATTCAAAGCCAGCCCAGGCAGGAAAGTACATGAGACTCTTATCTTCCATTAACCCCCAGAAAACTGGAAGTGGAGCTATGGCTTAAAGTAGCAGAATGCTAGCCTTTAGCAAAAAAGCTCAGGTACAGCACCTAGGCCCCAAGTTTAAGCCCCATGATTTTTTTTTAAAAGCAAACTAAATTCTAATGGTCATAATTGAAAATTTTAGAAAATGCTTGACTTAAAATATCTATAAATAAATAAATATCTTGGAGTTGGGCACAGTGGTTCATGCCTTCTTGAGAGGCAGATTGAGAGGATAGAGGTTGGAAGCCTGCCTAGGAGTAAGACTCCATATCTTAATAACTAAGCCAGAGGGCTGGGGATATGGTTCAAGTGGTAGAGGACCTGCATAGCAGGCTGTGAGTTTAAACTTTACTACCATCGAAGAGAAGAGGGAGGGAGGGAGGGAAGCGAGAAGGCAGTGAGGGGAGGGAGAAGAGGGAAGGGAAGAAAAGGAAGGGGAAGGGAAGAAAAAGCAGTTAAGTCAGGCATAGTGATGTACTCCAGTGACCCCAAATACTCAGGAGGCAGTAGGTAGGAAGACTATGGTTTGAGAATGCTCTGGGCAAAGACACAGATCCTACCAGAAAAATAACTAAAGAAAAAAAGGTTGTGGGTGTATCTCAGTGTTCAACATGCAGAAGGCCCTGGGTTCAATCTCAAGCACCAAAAAACATTTTTTTTAGAATTTAATATTGACATTTTCTCAGAGTTTCAAACTAGTGGACCATTTAAAAATATCCCACAGCACTGTTACAGACCACCAAATTTTAAGCTTCATTCTTACCATATCAAAAAGGCAAAATAAAAATAAATAAATAAATAAAAACTACAGTAATCAAAGTAAGAAAAAGGCTGGGTACTGGTGCTGATGCTCATTATCTTAACTATTCAGGAGGCTGAGATCTGAGTAGTACCCTTTGATGCCAGCCTGCGCATAAAAGTCAATGATTCTCTCCTTACCAATTAACCAGCAAAAAGCTGGAAGTGGAGATGTGGCTCAAGGGATAAAAATGCTAGCCTTAAATGAAAAAGCTATTCACAAGGCTCCGAGTTCAAGTGCCAGAACAAACACATGAACGAACACACACACACACACACACACACACACACACACACACACACACACACACACACACACACACACACACACACACACACACTAAGATAAAGAAGATGAAAAATCTATTAAATGAAGAGAACTTCAGTCAGGGTCCAGAGATAGCCATGACACAGGCTCCAGAGACCTGAAAGCACTACTGAAGGAGAGCTGACAAGGATACTGTAGAGCTTTCGGTCCTTGGACTCTGAGCGCATGCGGCTCAGCTGCTGTTTGTGACAGCGCAGGCTCCAGGGGTTATGGCTGATCTTCTCAGAACTCACACCACTGTTGCCATCTAGCATCTGGAAAGGGACATCTGAGTGGCTGTGTAGCTCCACCTTTGGACTCTTTGCCTCCTGGGAGCTAGAAAGGAAGAACACACACACGCACACACACACACATCACTAAGGGACTTAGGCCAGTGATCATCAGGGAGACGGGGGAGAGGAGGGTCAGATCAAGTCTAACCTGCCTCCTTCAGGCTCTGCTAACAGGTGGCACAGAGGCCCAGATACGTGAGACAATAATCTGGAGTAGTGCTCTTGTGTCTCTGAAAACTGCCTGAAAAAATAATTATTTGTATAAAATTACATGATAAACATTCATATGACAAAAACTATACAAGGCAAGATGTAGATTCACAATAAATACACAGGGTAGAGCATGGAATGTTCTTGTTAAGGATGGGAATAACTGTCCTGTTTTGGTCTACAACATTTAGGAGATCTTCCTTTAATACAATTTTTTTTAAGTATATGCTATCATGCTTACAAATGTCAATCTGCATCAATGCTTTGTAGAAAGAGGAAAACAGCAAAAAAAACAAACAAACAAAATAGTAATTCCATTTCCTTTGTGATGAGGAGGAAATGCTTCTCCCTACTTCAATTCTGTCATACTAAAATAAATCCTTGCTACAACTTAAAAAAAAAAGTCAAGATGGACTACCCTGAGTAGGCCAGTACCTTTGTTTATCTAAGTAAGGTTTGCTGGAAAGCCATTAGAAGAAGAGAATTTTATTCTGGAAATAAATCAAACCAAGAGGTTTTGACAGAAAGATGACTCCAAATGAAAACAGTGAAACTATCACAATTTTGTTATGCTCCAACAAAAACCTTTGGAAGTAACTGGCATTGCTAGTTTTCACACTGGTAAGCCTACAACAGCACACCACTGCCGAAGCCACATGCCCTAGAACTGTGGAGCAAGCCTGTGGCTCAGAGCAGCGGGGCAGCGCAACAGCAGTTATCAAATGCCACTCTGCCCTCCAGAACTGTGGGACGAGTCACATGGACTCTGTATGAAGTAGGGCACTGTCTTCTTGATACAAGGGACCTCTTCCTGGTGGGAGTAAGAACGCCAGGATGCTTTGGTCCTGAAAAGGCTCTGAGAGCTAGGATGGGCAGTATGGATCAAGGAACTGAACCCACTACCACATCTAACGTGTAAGAAAATGCCCAATTTCAACTTTATCACTTTTTTTTTTTCAGTGCTAGGTATGGAACCCACGGTGGCTCCATGTATGCCAGGCAAGCATTCTACCACTGAGCTACACCCACAGTGCACACCCTAAATTCAACTTCCAAACACATCGCAGAACACTTTATTCGCTAAGACTTTTTGAATAAAATTAACTGTATAATTTTTATTTCACTTTGCTTTTGGAAACTCATATTATTTATTGTTAGTCCACATGATTTTTTTTTAACCATTTAGTGGGATTTTTTTTCCCTTCGGTATGGATATTCACAAGTTTGTAATTTTCAGAATCATTTTTTCACCCCAAAAGCAAGTAATTCCAATGATCCTTTACCAACAGAAAGCTAACATTCGCCTGCTCTTTTTATATATGGGTTTGCCTGTCCTAATTATTTTATTTATTTATTTATTTTCAGTAGTGGGACTTGAACTCAGGGCCTGGGCACTATCCCTGAGCTTTTTTGCTCAAGGCTAACACTTTGAGCCACAGAGCCACTTCCAATTTTCTGTGGTTCACTGGATATAAGAGTCTCATGGACTTTCATACCCAGGATGGCTTTAAACTATGATCCTCAGATCGAAAGCCTCTTGAGTAGCTATGATTACAGGCATAAACCACCAGAGCCTGGCTTCCTAATCTTTTTATTTTATTTTTTTTATTTTTTTTTTTGTCGGTCATGGGGCTTGAACTCTGGGCCTGGGCACTGTCCCTCAGCTCTTCAGCTCAAGGCGAGCGCTCTACCACTTGAGCTACAGCACCACTTCCGGTTTTCTGGTGGTTTATTGGAGATAGGAGTCTCACGGTCTCTACTGCCCGGGCTGGCTTTGAACCGCGATCCTCAGATCTCAGCCTCCTGAGTAGCTAGGATTACAGGCGTGAGCCACCAGCGCCCGGCTCCTAATCTTTTTAAATAAACAATCATACAGTAGAATGTGGTGTTGTGTCTATCTTCCTTTACTTACTGCTTTCAAGATCTGTTCATGTTGTAGCGTATCAGTACTCCAATCCTTTTTTTAATGGATGGATAATATTCCATAATATTTTTTCATCCATTCACCAGCTGATGGACATTGGATGTTTCCATCCATATCTTAGGTTCATGCTAAGCACATCTCTGCGCATTGTATGGATAGATACTCAATTCTCTAGGGCACTGCATTTTGTGTGCTTTGGTATCTTGGTGGTGCGCTTGCCTCTGCGCGCTTATGTCCTCAGAATTAGACATGCACCTGCACCTTTGCTCCCCCTTCTCTCACCTCTCAGAGGTCTCAAGGGACAGGCTGGCTTTCTCCTCCTTGTGGTCACTGCCACTACCTGAACGATGCAGGCTCCGGCGGGAGTGTTTGCGCCGAGGTTGCTCCCGATCGGGTGTGTCATCCTGCTCCACAGTCTCACTCTCCACGTAAGGGTAGGCCACCAAGTTGATGTAACCATCACTATCCCCCTCAAAACAGACTGAGACCACTCCTGTTGATAAAAAACAAAACAGTCAGTCACTAAATCTCAACACAAACCGTCCTAGGAGTTGGGAGACTGTCAGCACTCATTTTGTACAGCACACAGACCCACAATCACATGACAAAACCAGGACAACCGAGCCAAGAAACCATAAACCCAAACAAACTTGCTACTCTCATGGAAATGCCGAGCGACTAACCTTTGTATTCAGGGGTAAACTCTTTCATCTCAGGAGGGAGGGACTCGTAGAAGCGCTGTTCCCGGGAGATGAGGGGCTTGCACACAGTGTGGTCGTCGTAGCGCATCATGCTGCTGTGTCCGCCCACCTGGTGGATGAAGGGCTCCAGGAGGACTCCCCGGTTTCCGGCCCGACCTGCGTTCTTGCCATACTGCCCCACTTCCATGGTTTGACAAACACACATTGCGTTGGGGGCCGGTTGCACACTGACGGCTAAGGATGCAGCACATGGGCCACAAAGAGAGAGCTAGGTAGAAGATCCTGGTGAGTGGAAGGCCAATGGTCAGAGCTTGCTCAGCTTATTATTTGGTCCTAAGGAAAACGAAAGAGGAAAAAGGAATTGAAATGTCTGGTAATGGCTGATGAAATGGTTCAAGTGGCAGGGTGCCTTCCTAGCAAGTACAGGACCCAGAGTTCAAACCCCAGTGCCACACACACACACACACACACACACACAAAAGCAACATCTGGCAAACTAAGATGGTGGTGCACACGTATAATCGCAGTATTTGGGAGACTACATAGTGAGACCTTGTCTTGGGGGGAAAAAAAAAATCTAGCAAGTCAGTCTCCTGGGGCTCCCTCATCTTTATTCCTAGTGCTCAGAACCCTTCTAAATTCTCCAGGGATTTTATTTTAGAGTTATAGTATGTTACAGCTATTAAAAAGGCAATTATCTGGAAGGCACTGGTGGTACATACCTATAATCCTAGCTGCTTGGGAAGTAGAGATTAAAAGATTGCAGCCTGGGAATGAAAGATCATAGATCTCAACTGGGCATGGTAGTGTATGCCTTTCATGCCAGCTACAATGGGCAGCTTAAGATACATGGATCAGCCGGACGCTGGTGGCTCATGCCTGTAATCCTAGCTACGCAAGAGGCTGAGATCTGAGGATCATGGTTCAAAGCCAGCCCGGGCAGGAAAGTCCATGAGACTCTTATCTCTACTAAACCACTAGAAAACCCGTAGTAGTGGCGTTGTAGCTTGAGTGCTCGCCTTGAGCTAAAGAATGCAGGGATAGTGCTCAAGCCCAGAGTTCAAGCCCCATGACCAAAGGGGGGGAAAAAAAAAGATACATGGATCAGAGTCCAGGTATGAGCCTATCTCAAAAATAACCTGGAGGTGTGGATCACTGGTAAAGCAGCAAGTGGTCTAGCAAGTACAAAGGACCTGAGTTCAGACTCTAGTACTGCCAAAAAAAAAAAAAAAAGGCCGATTGCCCAGTTTACTTCAAATTTCAATACTGAAATAAAGATTTTTTTCTCTCTCCAAATATCTTCCTGATTCAAGGGAAGGATTATTGCCTGAGAAATAAGATCTGACACATCAGACAGCAGGGAGCCATCTCTATTTGAGGCACTGGGGCAGGAGTCAAGCTGTTAAATATTGTTAATGTTAAGCCTTTAATAAGCCTTTTTATTTATGCTTTTTTTGTTGTTGTCGGTCATGGGGCTTGAACTCTGGGCTTAAGCGCTGTCCTTGCACTCTTCAGCTCAAGGCGGGTGCTCTACCACTTGAGCCACAGTGCCACTTCCGGTTTTCTAGTGGTTTATTGGAGATAAAAGTCTCATGGACTTTCCTGCCTGGGCTGGCTTTGAACTGTGATCCTCAGATCTCAGCCTCCTGAGCAGTTAGGATTACAGGCGTGAGCCACTGGTACCCGGCTGCTTTTTCGTTTTTTTTTTAAAGTCAGTTGTAGGGCTTGAACTTAGGGCCTGGGCACTACTGCTGAGCTTTTTTGCCCAAGGCTAGTGCTCTCCCACTTTAAGTCACAGCTCCACTTCTATTTGTTAGGTGGTTAATTGGAGGTAGAGTCTCATCGCCTTTCCTGCCCAGGCTGGCTTCAAACCATGACTGTCAGACGAACTTAGCCTTCTCAGTAGCTAGGATTACAAGAGGGAACCACCAGCACCCTGCTTTTATTTTTTACTTTTTCTTAACATAAACTATGAGGTTGAGGACTGAGAAGACTTCATTCCCTAACTGACAGCTGTTAGATCCTTTTCTGGTGTCCCAGCGCCCTTGAGCAAAGTACCATCAGCCAAGCAGCCAGCCAGACTGCCCTCAAGCCAGCATCAGCTTCCATGAGCACTCCACAAACATGTCGAGGAAGCTACATGATGAAGTACAACTCCAGTTCCCAAAGGAACCATATTTTCTACCTTCACAAGACAGTGAACTTTTATGACTCTACAGCCATTTCCATCCAGACCGCAGCAGCAGCAGCACTTCCTACTATGGCCCAGTAGGGAGGCTGGTGACTGATGCAAACAAACCCTTTACTTGTGTAACAGACTACCATAACTGATGACAGGTCAGGGCCCTTAACGTGGCATGACTGGTGCCAACAGTCCTTCATTTGGATGAAGGAATGGTCATAATTGGTGGAGACAACCTTGCCACATCCCCTTTCCTGGCTGTAATATAAGCAAGGCTGGTTCACCTCACTTTATGAGTCAGCCAAAAGACACTCTCCTGTGCTCTTACACTCCCCCAACTACCGGTATTGTAACATTTGGACCTGTAAAGACTTCTCTCTCGTGGTCTTCGTCTATTTTAATTTCCTTCATTCGTAGAGCAGATGAGCTGTGAAGATGTAAAGAGGAACAAGTACAAGCCGTGGCGGCGACAGCAGCCGTGGCCGAGGCAGCTGACTGGGGAGCTGATGGTGATGGCAGCAATAGTGACTGCGGACCTCCCAGAGCCACCATCCAGCAGCAAAGCGACAATGCCCACAGTAGGAGCAACAGGAGGCACAAATGGCAGACACAATGAGGAACAGTCAAAGTAGACAGAAAATGAGAGCTGAGGCTAAAGAAAGTCAGGAGAAAAGGCTAGGGAGCCAGAAAGAAGGAAATATAGACCCGGGGCTTCTAAAGTCAAGTGCCCTGGGACCTAACCCCTGAGGTGCAGAAGCTGCACACTTTTTACAGACCTTCACCAAAGCTAAAGACCTACTGCAGTCTCCAGTCATCCTTCAGGTGCTACTTGCTAAGGACTACAACAACATGCTGAGGGCCCAGAATAGCTCCAGGAGCTTCTCCTCTTCTACCCATGATTCCTATCCAAGTAGAGCAGAAGGCTCCCAGCCAGCTGAATGCTAACGAATCTTCCAACTTCAAGGTACTAAGGCCCAGAAGCCATTCCTTTGTGTTATAAAAGCATTAAAAAATAAATAAAGAGCTGGGTGGTGTCTCACCTCTGTAATCCTAGCTACTCAAGAGGCTGAGACCTAGGATTGAAATTGTAAGGCCAGACAGAAAAGTCCAGACTTTATCTGCAATTAACCAGCAAAAGAGCTGCACGTGGAGGCTTAGCTCACGTGATACAGTACCAGTGTGAGCAGAAAAGCCAAGCCCTACACCAGCACACACCCCCAAAAAGAGGATGGGTTTATATTTTTACAGATGATACTTTTTTGGGGGTGGGGGTGCCATCCTGGGGCTTTGAGTCAGGGCCACAGCTCCATTTGTGTTTTTTGTTTGGTTTGGTTTTGGTGGTTAACTAGAGAGATAAGTGTCTCATAGACTTTCCTGCCCAGGCTGGCTTGGAACCATGATCCTCAGATCTCGACCTCCTGAGCAGTCAGGATTACAGACATGAGACATGGGTGCTAGGCCAAGTTTTTTGTTTTCTTTTCTAATATTAAGCCTTTAAACCAAAAAGCTTCAGAACAAAAAGGTAATGCGGCTTTACAAAGAACAAAGTATGTTGGTCATGTGGCAGAATTCCAAATCAGTAAATAAAGAGAACATAAAATTCCTTTAGACTCTCAAAAAATATTTGAAAAGTATTTTTGATATAAGAAATGCCTAATTAAATGCACCTAGACAAGAACAGCAACAATAAAAAGCTTAAAGTATGCAAAAAAAGAACTTAATGAAGATTATTTTGTAATCAAAGATACAAAAGAAACAAAAGCAAGAAAATTAAGCAGACACAAATAATTTCAACAATAATCAATGAGCCAGATCAAAGTCCATGCTAAACTTAATTTAGACAAAGGAAAGTATAAGGAATTTTTGGTTCTGTTTTTACTTCTTTAACATAGAAAGTCTTTAAAATGGCACTTAATAAAAAGTCTTGGCAGGACAGGGAAGTTGGCTCAGTAGTAGAGTGCTTGCCTTGCATGCATGAGGCCCTGGGTTCGATTCCTTAGCACCACATAAGCAGAAAAGGCCAGAAGTGGCACTGTGGCTCAAGCGGTAGTGCTAGCTGTGAGCTGAGGGACAGCGCCCAAGCACAGAGTTCAGGCCCCAGGCCTCATGACCGACCAAAAAAAAAAAAAGTCCTGGCAAATTAGAATCAGCTCTGGTGGCCAAACAAGATCACAGTCTCCACAACAATTCCAAGAATATATCTGGCCAACATATTCTTTAGTCAGGCACAAACAAATGGAAGAGCAGCAGGTATGTACTTACTTAGGCTTAGTTAGAACTCCAAATTCTATGGCCAACATTTATGGCCACAGGTTAATCACTGGGATTTTTTTTTTTTTTCCAGGGCTGAGGACCGAACCCAGGGCCTTGCATGCGCCGGGTGGGCGCCCTTCCACTGGGCTAAACCCCCAGCCCCAATCACTGGGATTTTTTTTTTTGAGGTCCGGTCGTGGGGCCTGAACTCTGGGCCTGGGTGCTGTCCCTCAGCTCTTCAGCTCAAGGCTAGCGCTCTACCACTTGAGCCACAGCATCACTTCCGGCTTTTTTCTTTTTGCTTATCTGGTGCTGAGGAATCGAACCCAGGTCCTCGAGCATGCAAGGCAAGCGCTCTACCACTGAGCCACCTTCCCAGCCCCAATCACTGTGATTTTTAAATGCAATTATTTTTCCTTCTTATGTTTTTGTTTGTATAGCTCTTTTGTTTTTGCTGTTTCTGCAATATTTTTTATAAAGTGAAGTATGTCTTCACATTTCACAGGAAATTTGCTAACTGCCCTCAAGATTTCATTAAAACAGGGTCATAAATATAGTATTATTACCTCTTTTAAAGGTCAATATATCATTCTCTGCTCACAATTATGCTAAGCAAGACCCACAGGACTACTACAGGGCTGTGACTTTAACTAGCAAGGTAAAGCATCACAGAATCAGTCAAATCTTGCCTAACCCACTTACAAGTGCTACATAGGGTCAAATCTGGGAAGCACAGTGTTAGATGGATGCAAGAAATGCTTCTGAAATAAATGAGAACATCTAAACTGCCACCAATCCTACTGAGGACAAAAGCTAAAGAGAAAGTTTCTATACAACTGGAAGACAGAAGGGACAATACCAGGCTTGGTCATACTGTAGCTAAACTAAAAATGTAGCT